TTCTTTGCAGAGCTGCACCCTGTCCTGGGGAGTGTGAAGTCTGGGGTCCTCGCTCAGCAGTGGGCATAGTGGTGATGCCCCTTTCTTGGTGATGACCCTTTTATGGGGCTGCCAAGCCAGTGCTGGATTCTTTGAATTAAAACTGGATTAAAAATGGATTAAAACCCTTAGAAAAACTAAGAAAATCTTAGTTCTTTTTCACAGTTTCTATTCTTTGTCAGAGGGATTTTTCAGATGGACATTTTGTTGTTGCGTGAAGGAATAAAACCATGCATTGTGGCCACAAAGATTAGTAGTCAGACCTGTTTATGCACACAGCCATCCAACTGCTGTTATTTGCATCCATATAAACAGAAGCTATGCTAAATTCTGGCCAAAAATCAAACCCATTGTGAGCTGCCTAGAAGGCTTTAGCAGATGGGAACCATATAAATAAAATGTGATGTCGTTATTAACTGGCCCAGCAGTTCAGTGCATTTCTAACAATGATTATTTGGAATGGCATGAAGACTGTTCTGTCTTGAAAGATGAGTTTATCTTATCTACCAGACTGAGGCATTTAAAAACAAAATGTACAGTCCTTCCTCTTCAGTGGCAATGATGCTTTGAACCCCATTGCTTCCCACAGCAATAGGAATTTTCCCAATAAGAAAAAGGGAATTGCTGCACAGTTTGGATTAGCTTCTAACTTTTTACATTAGAAAATTCATGTTACAACTCTGTATGCTGCTTTAATTTACTTCTATCCTAGTTCAGCACCTACTCTCTCAGCCCTAGCCCCAGTAATGACAGACTGTTCTTTGCTCCTTTGAGATAGAGTTCGTTTCAAATGCAGGAAACTTTAGTTGACAGTGATCTGCTTGACAACACTATGTCCTATATTAGAACAAAATAGAAACTTGAACACAAAGTTCATTTGGTTGTGGAAAACTCAGGCTATATACATGTGAACCCAGTGAGGAGAAAGAAATAAATCCATTTCCTCAGTGTGATCCATGTTTCCTGTCCAGTTCTAAAATCCCCACTTAGGAAATACCTCACAGGCTCTTCCTGGTGTGTTGACCAGCCCTTTAAAGTGAGCTGAGAAAATGACTGATACCTCCCAAACAGATGTTTTCAGTTCTGTCACGTATCACAACTCCCTCTCCTTCAGTTCTGACCTTATGTGTTTTCTCCAGGCTTTCTCTTTCTTATTCATGAGGTGGTTGTTGCTCTCCACATTGTTTTCTCCATCTCACTAGCAGGAAAGAGAGCAGTTTTCTAGGGTTTTAACCCATTTTATTGGCTGGGCATTGTTGTTCTTTGTGCCCCATTCCCATATTTTACCAAAGGCAATGCTTCCCAGTGCTGATGAGACCCTGGTTGTGCCAGGTGGCTGCTGCACAATTCTACCATTTCAAGCAGCTGAATTGCCTTTCTGGAAGATTTCACAGTTCAGTTTTGTTGAGAGAATTGTCTTGTCAAAATACAGATTGAGAAAGCCTATCAAGAGTGGCAGGCTGTAGAGGGAAGCCAGTGTAGGGGCTGAGTTACTCTTGCCTTGGTGCCCCTGGTTCTCAGGGGTTGTTCTTGTGCCTGGAAGAGTGGCTCTTACAGATTTTAAAAAGCCATTTTGATGGCTAACGTTGGACAGTAACCAAGAAATACAGGTTTGCTCCCATGTGATGATTGTGAACTAAATGATAGCAATATGTGAGCTCAGGGGAAAACACTGCTGGAGGTGGTAAGGAAAGCACCACCTTGGGCTCTGCTAATGTCTCTTTATAGAGTGAGTGTCAGTGTCAGCTGATCAGAAGAACTCCTACCAGCTCTTGAACCACCGTCTTATCAGTCCAGAAATGAACTTCATCCATTGTGTCTGTATACTCTCCATGTATTTACACATGCCTTTCTCATGGAGCTTAAAGGTCAAATGCTGGGAGAGTGGGTGTGTAGAGACAGCAGAGCAGGACCCAGACTTGGAAAAGGCTGTATTGCATAAATTGCCATATCCTTTAGCCCGCGACTTGGTTGGTTTTATCTTTTTTCCAAAAGTGCCTCAGAAATACAGCCAAAAAGCACAGAGCTTCACTGCGAATAGGAAAGCAGGGCAGACTCACTACTACTGAAGGTGACTTATGCAGGTCGGGGATCTGTTTATGGGTTATTTCCCAGACACAGAGAGATTACAGCCCATCCTCACAGGCCTGTCTGCGATCTCCTCCAGGGCTGTGGAAGGCACCCTGCCACACGGTTAGCACGAACACTGGCCTTGGTGCTGGGACAGTGGCTCCGGTGTGGGTGCACACACACACACACATTCCAGGACTAGAAAGGTGAAGAATATTTTTAAGACATTATTTTTATGGTAATCTATTTCAATGGTTAATTTAGTTTAGGGCACTGATTTATAACAAGTTTATAGATCTTCTTTACTATTCTTTGTTGAATTATGGAGGTGGCATGTGTGAAATAGAAGTACTTGGCCTATTGTTCTGCTTCTCACGCAACCAGTATAGTTGAGACAATAAAAAGATCTATAAAATTAATATATACAGAGAGAAGGGGACAGAGACAGAGAGAATATGTAATGCTCTAGAGTCTGATATCATATTTATCTCTCCCAGAGAGGTTAAGACTCAGAATTTACATGTAGAAATACCAGAAAGATCTTACCCTCTTATGTGAACTAAGCATCCAGGTTAACATCTCCTTTATTTATAAAGTCAGTTTTCATGGTGTAATTTTTTGTGTTTTTTTTAGGCTAGAACAATATTGCTTTGCTTACAGCTTGGAGCTAGGCCATCTATTGCTGAGGGCTCCCTGACCTGGAGCTATTAGGCAGGTTTTTATGGAGACATAACCACACTAAGATTTCAATTCCCCATTTTCTTTATACCAGTACATTATATCATATTTAAATGTACCTGCATGTGAACGCACGCACATCGTAATGGGCAAATATTTATACATCTCTCAACAAAGCCTATATGCTCACACTTATTAAATGTGATAATAGCATTTTTATCTTACCTATGCTAAACTGTGTTCAGTGTATACTGCTGACTATAGAGGCACTTGACTCCCTATTCTATCTCCTCTGAGGCTCTTTCTGCTATTTCAGGCCATTGAGAAGTGATTCTTTTAAGGTCTGGTATCTCAGGTGTTTTAAGGCTTAACTGGTTTTCTCTTCACATTTATAATAAAGTAGTGTTTCTCCGTAGCCTTACTTTTATGTGGCATTGTATGACTAGGAAATTGGGATATTTTTACCTACTTTTGCTTTAAAGTTTTCTTTAGTAATTATCTTATATGAGAAAGTAAGGAGATGAAAGCAGGTATAAAATACACAAAATAGTACAAAGCACGTGTTTTGTATCATTAACACGGTTCCTTTGAATGACTGATTGTTGGTTTGCTCTTGTAGCAGCAGCAATAGCAGTGCTCCTTTTTCTCCCTTGGTCAGAGGTATGCTAAGATAATTCTTAATCAAAGCTTTAACACAACCTTGCAATGAAATATGATCGAGGCAATTAATCCATATTGAAATGGTGAAATCACTTCAGAGCCCTGGTATCTTGTCCAAGATGTGCAAATCTCTCCAAAGATGTATTTGCTAACTGCTGCTATTTTAAACTGTCCTCTTTCCCCAATCTCTCCTCTTTGATTAGTTTTCAATATGTTAAATTGGGTAAACCAATAGGTAGTGGGTTGACAGTTGTGAAACTGGTTGATGTCTTGTCCTTTTATGTGCCTAAAGGACAGCAGTCTTTTTTTATAAACCTATTAATGTACCATCATTCCTTCTACAGAGTATAAATATATGGTAATATGAGGTCTGTTTTCTTGTCACCACACATCACCACTTCTATTTGAAGAAAACAGAATAAATGGACCATATTACAGTCAAATGGAAAGAAAATTCCTGGTTTCTACTGTCAAAAAGAAAAAAGCAGAACAATAATTTGAATAGAATTGCAGTTTATCCTCTTTGGTGTTAAAGAATACCAATTTGTTTTATAAATTACAAATAATTTAAAGATTTCAACAGTTTTAATGAAGTTCTGAGATGGATATTTTGTCTCCATTTGGTGTATCCTTCATCCTGTGCAAATAGGAACCAGTGTTGTCCACACAGTCTCGGTTGAAGGTTACCAACACTGACAAATTATCAAAGTGCTTATTTTATTTTTAATAAACAATCTCCTAGAGCTTTTTCTCTCCAGAAACATAAATAATGAACCTGCAAAAGCCTTATTTTCAGAAATGTACCCTAGGAATGAGAAAGGGGCTTATTTTCCTGACAAAGCCCAAAAGTTGGGGAGAAAGACCAAATAACAGAATCTGGCTAAGTGCCCATCAAATTACTGGAGACGACTATTTGGTAATAAGAAGGAAAATACACTTGGGCTCTACATCATTCACAGATACAGATGGGAACAGCCAAGAATGGCTCTTTTTTTTGGAGGAAGGGTTGTTAACTAACAGTCCTGTAAGGATATTTACTAGAGTAGAAAACTAGAGTTAATAGCAGTACAACAGAACTGCCTAATTTTTTTTTTTAAAGCCAAGTCAGCTTATTATTTCCATCAAATACTGAATTTCAAATATTTGCAGTAGTAACATCACAGACTACAGGTGTAAGTAAGGCAATATTCAGGGTAAATACCTGCAGGTAGCATTATATCAGTACAAAAAGCTTAGATTGCCTTTGCCTGGAATATTTAATTTTATTTGCAAATGCCTGCCAACAGAACAGTTGTGGCTCACTTTTTGAACATATTGTGTCCCACACATTCAAGAAAGCATTTTATTTTCTTTTTGAATCTGCTAGTTGTTGAATGCTAAGAAGAACAACTGCATCGACATCATGTCAGGAAGGATAGAGTTTCTCCTGTATTCTGCCTATATCAAATTACAACCTCTGGTAAGGCTTGTAATATCTGCCAGGTGATGGTAGGAAATTTAAGGATTCAGAACCAATTGGTTAAGTGCCCCACCCAATGATTAGGTCTGTTGGCCTTGCATCATGGGAATGTGTTGGTGCAAGTGGCTGGAAGCTGGGCAGAATCACTCAATTATCAGAAGGCTGGAGACTCTCCCTGTTGTAGAGCCTGTGGTAAGTAAAATAAGAGCCTTCTGTTCAGAGAATGGACAGAGTCTGAGCCTTCTGCATCCTGGCTGAAGTGGAGGTGGGCTCCTACAATTTTGTGAAGCACTAATACAAGCTAAACTTTGAAGAGTGCTCAAGCCTTCATAGGTGTGCCTCCAGTGGCTGTGAGGGTGTGCAGTCAGCAGTCTGCAGGGGATGTGTACCTTGGCAGCTGAGTTGTTTGTGTGTCTGCTGAACCCACTCACCACAGGAATGGAACTTTAAACTGTGGCTTGAATCAGCTGTTGGAAGGAGTCATCAGGGAAGATGAATAAGCTCACTGTCAGCTGAGGTCTTTGCACTTAGGTGTGTATTTCAAAGTGATATATGCTTGTCTGTCCTCTCTTGTTTTTGTACCTTTTTGCTTCTGAAAGTGTCAAAAGCTATTATTTTATCCTCTGTAAAAGTTTTTGCATGTGCAGTGCAAAGAAGATGGCGAAAAGTAAATTGGTTTCACTCTGTCAAGGAAAATGGATTTAAAATATCTATTAGGACTGAAGAGCACTTATGTAAGCCTCTTCTTAGATGTTTCATTTTGTAAACAGCTTGATCCAGAAGGGCAACTGACAAGTCTTAATCAGCTCTCTTCTGCAAACCCTTTGCAGAGGAGAATGCAAGAGTTACAGTCATTTTTGCTTTAGTTCTGGCATCTGTCCTAAACTGCCTTTGGTGTGGTGTCCCAGGTAGCTATCTATCCCTTCCTAGCCCTGAGAAGAGCTGCCAAAAATCTTCCCTCTGGCTAGGTCAGGAGCTTATTTCATTTAGAGTCTGTTATGCTAATTGTGTACTGTAATAGCAAATGCTGTGAGCTAATCACTCTCCACTTAAGCAGAAAACCACATATTCTTTATGTTATCTGAATGATACCAGAGCATTCCTTTCTTGCCTGTTACAACTTTCCTTTGCAGTAATAGTAACATACAAATGTCTTTCAGGTTGGATGAATGGTGCCTATAACATATTTCTTTTGACAGACAGTCTTTGCAACTGAAATTCGTGCCTATTGTTTTAAGTTTCTTCACAGTCTTCTCTGTAGAATTCTTTGCAGAAGCCTTTAGACAAAAACTTTGGGCCTGCAAGGGGCAAATAATGTGAAACACGTTTCTAATGAGCAATAATTACAGGTTTAAATAGCTGGCACAATCAGTGTTCAGTGATTTCATTATTAGATGGCACCGTAATTTATGCTAATCCTGATAACGGTTCCGGATGAGAGAGGTCCAGACATAGGCGATTGCACTGCAATTATTTACACCCTGTATTTCTGAAACAATAGATATGGTAATTTGGAAATCAGATGACTATGATTTCATTTATTCTGGTAGGAAACACATGTAACAAGTTGTGTCAACAACCATAAAATTAAATAGGATTATTTGATTTCCAGTTCTAGGTTTATTCCTTGTTAGCTTTCACTGCCCTAGGTGACCCACAAATCAAAGGAAGTTTATTTGGGGAGACATGGAATTTTAAAATTTTCTACCTTTCACAAGTCTTGTATTTGGATATATGTTCTCAATGCATGCAAAAGAGGTGGGCTGAACTTCATGAGTCTGCTTTCATGTAGCTATCACCTTTGTAATTACTGCAAACAAAACCAAACCTTTCAATCCTCTCCAGCCATTCCTAAGTGACTGGGGTACTCGCTTGTGTCTTTTAACTCCACTGGGCTCTTGTGCAAGCAAGCCATCAGTAAACTGAATTTCCAGATCAAATCATGCCAGTGTGGTGGGTCGGTTGCAGGACAACAGGGAATATATCAGAGGTGTTTAAGAGGGGAAAAGAAATGGAGGCTGTAGTGATTTCAGTATGCAGAACATGGAGAAAGCCTTTAGCAGGAGAACCTGTGTTTCAGGTTCATTCCTCAGCATCTCAGTTGTGCCAAACAAGTCAATTAGACTGTTCATGTGCTTAAAGCCCGTGCTACGTGCTTCATGTGACTGGAAGATCAGGTCTCTGGTGTAAATAAGTGAGGTAATAGTCTGTTGATTGTTGGAAGTTCCTGGAACAATCAGGGCTCTGGTCTTTCTGCCAAAGTATTATTCACTGCAATTAGGACAATGAACAGCACTAAAATTCTATTCACTGCACCTCTCATCTGTTTCTCTAGTGAACTTATGCAGTCTTTCTTAACATTTCAGATTTAAAAATTGCTGTTGGCATTAGTGAAATAGATGTGCATGTTTTAGGAAGGAATTGTTTAATCCAAAATATGGTCTGGATATTAATGACCAATGTGTATAGCTTGTATTTATTTTCTGTGATTGCTGGGATTTTGCTGCAGGAGGGGGTAAGAGAAGGCATGCAAATACTGTGGCTGTTCATGGAAAAGAGACAATGAGCTCATCAGTTTCCAATATTTTTATCCTGGTGTATCTTAAATAGTCTCTACCGTCATATCTTTTTTGTGATGTGATAGCAGGCTGGGTTGGCCCTTGTCATACACAGGTGGTTGGCAGTGCCACAGGAATGGGGGGTGTCGGGGTAGCTTTGCCAGCAGCTCAGCAGTGTCTGGGCTAACAGGGCTCCTCGTGTTACTGTCCGTCTGTCTGCTCCCTAGCGCTCTTGCTGGCTTTCTTTTGTTCACATACAGCTTCCTCATGCTGCCCTCCCCAACCTCCTTGGGCAAGTGGCAGGGTGAGACTGGCCTGGATGCCATACTTAGGAGGCTTGGCTGCTCCTGGGAAGCTGAGGATTGCTTTTGTGAAAGCTGAATGTCAGTGTAACTGAGCTCCCAGCAGAAAGGATGGAAAGTGGCTGCTGAACAAGCTAGTGTAATCCACATGTTTGAGAGTGGACAGTTAGAGAGGCTTGGAAAATCATATCCACAGGCTTTGGTAAACCTTATCTGAACTGCACAAGGTGTTTAAGCTGAGACATCTCACAAGAAAGGCTCTTGATGTGGTTTTGACACTTGCTACTTTCAGCATAGCTTGGATTTCTGATAAGACATTCTTTGTGGTATGTAATTTTCTATTTCTGACTGTAGCTTGCCCTGGAAGGACACAAGAACAGCAGCTGCAAAACAAACAGACAGGTGAAGCTATAAAACCCTCTTACCCTAGCTTTTTATTTCTGTTGGCTGTATTCTTTTAGTGTTTTGGATAGGTGAAGCTATAGCTTAATTCCCTCTTTATATGAAGAAATTTGCTTATTTGTTTAGTAGAAATAAAAATTGCTAGAGGGAGAAACCTGATGGCAGAATATAATGTGTTGTCATTGTCAGGATGGTAGCTGTCAAAAGCAGACTTCATTGTAATCAGCTTGTCTTAAGTTTTATATGCAACCCATTAACATTCCAGCTTTGACTTGTATGATACCAAACCATGTTTAGAAAAGGAACACTTCAGGGTCTTGATCTCTTCCAGAAAAGTTTCTTCATCTACAAGCTTAATTTATAAATACAGAAGTTCCTGTACAGAGCTGCATCTTCATTTCACAGAATAATAGTCTGTGTTTATGTGCTGAAACCAGTGGATGCAAACCGCTTCATGTTGGAGACCTACAGCATGCAACCCAAAGTAAAAGGGTCTGTTTTTGTCATAGTTAAGATAAACAAAGACTTAACTGGAGGAAACATGTCCATTCTGGAGTTGTTTTATGTGGAAGTTACAAATCACTTTCTTGCTGTGTAATATAAATAGTTTTTCCAAATGCTGGTGTTGTGCTATTGATATTTCAGATCACCTCATTAATCATCTTGGGGAGTAATAAAGTTATCTAAGTTCACAGACTCACTTCTTAAAGTGGATATTAATAAACAGCAGAGAAGAAACAATATTTTTAAATACAGTATTTGTAAACCTTTGGACAGGAATAAAGATTAATTTGAAAGGACTAGGTACGAAATAAAAATGTTTCCTAATGTTGTGGAAGTGATCTGGTCAGGGGTCAGGTGTGCAGTGTGGGGAACAGAAAAGAAACTGTATGGATGCAAGTGATGGTGAGTGTCATGCAGAAGAATACTCTACACTAAAATGTCAGTAGATTATCTTAGTTGTGCATTTGGAGAACCAAGATGGAAAGCAGGATTAGGCTGGCCTCTTGAGCAGTGAGTAAAAAATGTGAAAACCAACTAATTTTCTGAAAAGGAAAGGTATAAATCTTACCCTTGCTGTCTCTACAATTTGTGTAAACTCTGGCAGGAGAAAGTAGAAAAGAATGGCAGCTCAAGGAGGTCTAAGCTTACTCAGGCTGAAGGAGACAAGGTGGTTGCCAGGGTTAGAAAGAGGAGCTGATCTCACTCACAGGGGAGCACAGGACATAGTGAAGAGGCTGTGGAAGCACACAGAGATGTGGTGGGGAAAAGCAGTAATTTTTCAGTGTTTGCCTTTGTCCCTCATGTCACATAACGATGCAAAAATAAACATGTTTGCCACTGACATTGGTCAAACTTTCCATGTGCATTAGCTTCTCTTGGTGTAAGTGCAAACAGCTGTGATGGAGAACTGGGAATAAATGTAGATATTTAGGGATGTTCAAGAGCTTATGAGACGGAGAAAGTTAAAGTCTACATTAAGAATGGAATAAGTTGTTTGCTTTTGACCCTGAACACCTTTGCAATCTATGAAATTAATAATATTGCATTATAATCTCATTTACAAGGTTTCCTCAAAGATAAAATAACAAAGACTAAAAAGAGTAGACCCTTCAGAAATGAATAGCAATCAGCTGAAGCTAAAAGGCTTTTTTAAACCTCTGAAACAGTGTCATGTGGTGCATTTCTGGCTGTTTGAATGATGGAAAGGACTGCTTTTTGTTCTCACAGTATTTGGAAACGAGTCAGGAAAATGCATAATGCATTTTACATTAACATTACTTGAAAAAAAGTATAATATGAACTTTTAAATGAGTGCTCAGGTGGAAGTCATAAAAAATGCATGTTTATATGTTTCTGTGTTAATTTTATTAAAAAAGACAACTGTTTGCGCAGATGCCATCTGCAATGGATGAGGTAGAAGGAAAAA